AAGATTTTACACATTATTTACACATCTTGCCAGACACAACAATGTGTAAACACAGGAATGTGTGCCAGTGTTTTATACTTTCTAATGCGGAGTAATATGAGTTTGAACTGTGTCTCATCAGGCAGGGGAGGGGGAGGAAATCACTATGAACACATGATCATTGCCAACGATGAAGTGACTACTGATGTCACAGTCGTTTCATTCGGCTTGTCTGTGGGGACCTGAACACATCGGGGAAAAGGATTCAAAGGGGGAAGATGCCTGACGGCAAAAATGGCCAGAGACCCTCGGCAGCAGGTCCAGGAAGGACATTCTCTGCAAGTAGAATTTTTGAGAGTGCAGCAGCACCAGAAGTGAAGCATGGTCAGAAAGTGGAAGACCCACGAGGCATATCTATACTCAGGGCCAGGAGAGCTGCCCAGCCAGCCATTCCTGCTGGCTGAGACATGTTCCAAGTCACTCTTTTAGGCAGACTAGCCACCTTGTGTTTACACAGCAACCGGTTCTGATTTAACTATCATGGCTCCTCAGCTGGATATGCTCCTCAGAGCTGGGTTAATGTGTGAACACCTGAAAGCAGCACTTCCAAATGGATATGGAAAGTAGGAAACTAGGGAAGGTGTGCCAAGGTGGGAATCTAACTTCAGCTCTGTGTTCTTACTTGATTTATATCACGGTATGATTGTAGCCAAGAACCTGCTTCTTTCTTTTCAGCCTTTAAGTTAGCTTATTTATTTGCCATGTAATCAAATACCTGGAGGAACTATAGTTTCTGAAGTTTGGAGCCAAAATCTGAAAGAGGAGGGATTAGCCTGTTTTTTAGGCTAGGGAAGTGAAGCAGTGGGCGTGGAAATGGAAGAGGGATTAGGATCTATGAAAAAAAACAGCCAAAGAAGGAAGGTGGCTTTGAATCCAGTGTTAAATTGCATGATACATATTAAGAACGCTGAGATAACTGGGGCAGGACAAATGGATGTGAGATAGAGTGGTTAGAAATTGCTTCAAAGAGGACGTAGGACCCCGGCCAGGTCGTGAAAGATGACTTGAGCCCCGGGAGAGAGGACAATTCCTGCTCATTTGCCCGCATTGTTTTCCTCATCCTCCCCTGTCTGGTGGGACACAATTCAGATTCTTATTACTCTGTATTATTAGAAACTTTAGAACACTGGGCACCCATTATGTAGTGCTTTCCATTTTTTCTTTTATTATTTTATATTTACTAATTCCCTAAGAACAAGATAGTACTTGATGCTTTTACCACCCACGCCCTACATAGATCACAGTGTAGTGAAATAGTGGTCACTGGTTTATGAGTAGCAGAAGTCCAGAGTAGTCGGTGTGTGCCCAAGATTTTAAACGAGAGAACTGCGGGCATGATAAACTTGCAGGACAGTGTTGAGAGGGCCCTGGATTATGTCTTCACGATGACTACTTTCTGCGGCAGAACGTCGCCTATTAGAGTTGAGGGGAAAGATCTAAACAAACATTCCAGGACTGATGAACTATTCTCGGGCACCTCAAATGTGTGGCAATCTCAGTTTAGGCAACTAAATCCCCTTATTTCTCTTGATCTACTAACATGATATAGGTTAGGCCCTGGAAAGCAAACCGTCTCTGCTCAGATTAAGTCAGCTCTACTCACCCACTTGACTGTTTTCCTTAGTAGGTCTGAACTTTGCACTGAAGCAGAGTTTGAGGACTGTCTGAGCATTCTTGTTGAACAAAGTAATTTTTTCTGGTGTGAATGAAGCTTCTACAGCTACATCAGCAATACTTTGTGACCTGAAAGAAAGAAATGGAAGCACAGACATTATTTCTGAGTGCCTATATTATGGCCTTTGCATAGAGGACCCAGTGCTGGTGTTACGGAATTCCTCTCTCTACTCTTTGTCTAAACATGTTAGTAGTATTTTGTATTTGTAAGCTCTATGATGACAGGCAGAGATAATGTCTTTGTTTGTGACTGTATCACCAGCACAGTCCACACAGAATATCTTTCACTAAACAAACACATGCATGACTGCGGGATAGGCATCTGCAACCTCTTGCAAGTGAAGTGCAAAGTCACGGCCTCTGTCATGTTTGGCCAGCTGGTAGCAGTGCTAGTCACTCTCCTCACAGTTAGGGGAGAGAGAAAGTGGGAGGGTGGGGGTGGCAAGGCTGAGGAGTGTGGTTGCGGCTATTTTCCTGTTGCCTTGGTGGCTGGGCGGGATCCTTTCAGGAGTGGCATACAGCTATGATGGTGGCAACTAGACAGACACCAGAAAAAGAATGAGGCCGCTACAGTGAGCTCCAGATTTCTGACCCTGGCTCAACCCTATAGATATTTGACACATGGCCTCATTTGCTCCTTGCAATGCTCCTGTGAAACAGACAGAACAAATATTGCCTCTGTTTTATCAATAAAAAAGTCC